CATTGAGCACATCCAGGTGAACAAAGCCCCCAAGATGCAGTGAGAACTTACAGGGTTCACAGTCGGATTAACCCGTGCATGAGCTCTCCCTGCCACACTGAGATGCTCCTTCCTGCAAAAGACCAGACTTCCTAAACGAGAGGAGGAGTTTGTACAGAAGAAAAAGATACACCAGAAGAAACTGAAGAAACAAAACTATGGCCCAGGGGTAAAGTCTGCATAAAATAAATGCAAATAAAAGTAAACAAATATATATTATGCTGAATGAAAGAAGCCTTATACAAGAGTAGATCATACTGTAGGAGTTCGTTTCAATGAACTCTCAGAGCAGGCAAAATTAATCTATGTTGAAAAACAGAGCTGTGTTTTCCTCCTGAGGATGGAGTGAGGATGGTGATTATCTGAGAAGGAGCATGAGGAAACTTTCCAGAGTGATGGAAATATTCTATATCTGGATAGGGGTTTGGATAGCACAAGTGTATACCTTTGTCCAAACTCACAAAATGGCACATTCAAGATTTGCATAATTCTCTGTATATAAATGTTACCTTAAAGTTGCAAACAATTACTGAACTCTAGTTAATGATATGCATGCCCAAGATTTTAGGTGTGAGGTGTACTGATGTCTGTAACTCATTTGGGAATGCATGAAAAATCAGATGGACTAATGGATGGATGCATACATAGATGATAAAGCAAAAATGCTAATCAAAGAATCTAGGTAGTGAGGATATGGATGTTCACTGTACAAACCTTTCAAATTTTCTGAATGTTTGAAATTTTTCATAAAGAAATATCGGGTAAAATAATAACAACAAAAACAAAACAACCCAATTTAAAAATGAACAAAGGGGCCACCTGGGTGGCTCAGTCAGTTTAGCATCTGCCTTCAGCTCAGGTCATGATCCCGGGGTCCTGGGATCGAGCCCCGCATCGGGCTCCCTGCCCGCATCGGGCTCCCTGCTCTGTGGGGAGCCTGCTTCTCTCTCTCCCTCTGCAGCTCCCCCTGCTTATGCTCTCTCACTCTCTTGCTCTCTCTCTCTCAAATAAATAAATAAAATCTTTTTAAAAAATAAACAAAGGACTTGAATAGACATTTCTCCAAAGGAGACATACAAATGGCCAATAAGCACATGAAAAGACACTCAACATCATTAATCATTAGGGAAATGCAATTCAGAACCACAAGATACCACTCCATTATGATGATTATAAATTTATAAAACAGAAAATAACAAATGTTAGCAAAGAAGTGGAGAAATTGGAGCTCCTGTGCTTTGCTGGTGGCGGTGGAAGATGGTGTTGCTATTGTGAAAAACAATTTAGCGGTTTCTTAAAAAGCTAAACAGAATTACCATATGATTCAGCAATTCCACTTCTAGGTATATACCCAAAAGAATTGAAGGTGGGGACTCAAGTAGATACTTGTATATCCACAGTCACAGCAAGAGTATTTAAAATAGAAGGCGGAAGCAACCCAAATACGCACCTACAGATGAACAGATTTTAAAATGTGGTATATCCATTCAATGGAACTCAGCTAACCAACTAATCCTTAGTTGGCAGGCCCTGGGAGTAAGAGGGAATGGGAAGTTATTGTTTAATGAGCATAGAGTTTCTGTTTGGGCTGATGGAAAGAGCCAGAAATGACAGTGATGATGGTTACACAACATTGTGAATATACTTAATGCCACAGAATTGTGCACCTAAAAATGATTACAGTGGTAAATTCTATGCTAGGAACATTTTACCACATTAAAAAAATAAATACAAATAGTAAAAGAGCAAAAGGCTGAGATCACTGAACCCAAGGGACTGTTACAATCCCTTGCCCAATTTCCAGCCAGTTCTCAGGCCCAGACCTCATCTACTGAAGTCTCCTTCACACTGGGGAAGGATCCAGCAATACCATGAACGGTGTATATAGTGCTAGGAGAGGGGGATCTAGAAAAGGTGGGGAAGAGGGATCAGATGGTGCCTGGTTACAGGCTCGGGACCAACTTAAGCAACAGGGGCCACAGCCCATCCCTACTAGCTTTCTTTTCCTAGGTTTGTCCAGAAATTGTGCCCAACCAGAATCCTGGGGATCTGAAAGCAATGAACTTCATGTGGGGCTGAGTGTGGCAGGGCTGGGGTAAGCGTCCCCAGTGTGAGCTGGTGACTTGCAGCTGACCCTTTCTCTGGAGCATTGGCTGAATGGGAGCCACCCCGGTAAGAGAGGCTGTGCACCCTGACCTCATGAAGGTGGTCCCGGACCGCCCTGGGCTGGAGAGGAACCAGCCTCCCCCTTAGTACTTCTCCCTTCACTCCCCCTCCCTCAGGTGCTCCCCAAAAACTCCCTCCTGCTCCTCCCCCACCCCAACCACTGATCTGTTCCCCAGATCTGTTGCCATTTCCAAAGTGTCACATAAATGGCTTCACACAGTATGGAGCCTTCTGAGACCAACTGCTTTCACTCAGTCCAATCTTCTGAGATGGTTCTGTGCTGCTGTGTGTGTCACTGGCATGCTGGGCTTCTCCCTGAGGTGGCGGACTGTGGCATATTTGTCTGCCCCCCAGCTGATAGGCATTCGGGTTGCTTCCAAGCTTTGGCGATGATTAATAGAACATCTCTAAACATGCAGGGGCAGCATTTTGTGAGAACAGAAGTTTTCATTTGTCTAGGGCAGCTCCCAGGACTGGAACTGCTTGTTCGTGCAGCAGGTGCCTGTTTGTTAACTCGGTCTGCTGGCTTCTGTGCATGAACGTCTCCTTCTTTCAGATCAGTCTCTCCCCTCTCTTCACTGTAGGAGGCTGAAAGAAGCCAGGCAGCTCCTTCAGCGGCCCTGCAGGGGGAGATGCAGGCATCTCCTCAGCTGGATCATCTCACTCACAGGGGAAGCATCTTATTTTGGGTCCTGCTACCGGTGACAATGTAGCTAAGCTTCTTGCCACACCACACCAAGGGTCTCCTTTCTTCCATCTTGTAGTAAGACTTCTCTCACTTCCTTCTAAGACCCCGCTGGCAGTCTCTGCAGGGTGCTTCCAGCTCCTGCTTGCTGTCCACTCCCAAAGCCAAAGCCACGTGACTTAGGGCTTGTACTGACAGCATCCCATTCCGGTACCCGACCCCATCTGGTTATCTAGAGCTACGTAACAAACCACCTCAAACAAATCACCTCTACTGTTACCTCTCACAGTTGCCAATTTGGTTTCTCGTGTTGTTGCCGTTGATGACAGCTGGGACAGAAGCCGAAGGCTTCCTCACTCACTCATGATGCTCCGTGCTCCCTGTTGGCTGGCCCTTCAGCTGAAGCTGCTGGCTGGAACACCTCTGCACGTGTCTCTTCCTGGGGCTGCTGGTGGCTCCTCGCAGCCTGGTGGCTGGCTCGAAGAGCAAGCATCCCAAGATGAGGGAGAGAGAGGAGTTGTATCACCTAACTGTCTGAGCTGGCTTCAAAAATCAGTGTCACTTGGGGCGCCTGGGCGGCTCATTTGGTTGGGCATCCAACTCTTGATGTGGGCTCAGGTCATGATCTCAGGGTCATGAGATTGAGCCCAGCATCAGGCTCTGCGCTCAGCCACCGGGAGTCTGCTTGAGATTCTCTCTCCCTCTCCCTCTACCCCTCCCCTCCCCTGCTCATGCTCTCTCTCTTAAATAAATAAATAATTAAAAAAAAAATCAGTGTCACTTCTGCTCCATTCTAGAGGTTAGAAGCGAGTCATTAGGCCAGCCCTCATGTTCTAAGGCAAAAGGAATTAGATGCCACCTCTTGAAGGGAGAAGGGTTAGGGAATTTTCTGACATGTTTGGAAAGCTCCAGAGTGGGCCCCTCTTCACCATGGTGGACTGGTGAAGAGATGGGCGTATGCAGAGGTAGACAGGTAAAGAGATGGTGCGGACAGGCAGGTAGGTGACCCATTTATCAAGGTGGGGAATACCAAGCAAGGAACAGATTTTGAGAGGATCTTAAGTCCAGTCCGGGCATGGTGGCTGGGAGATGTTTATAGGTGATCCAAATGGAGTCGTGGAGCAGGCACTTGGGAGATACCAGCCTGGAACAGAGGGAGAGGTCAGACCAGAGGTATCTACTTGGGAGTCATTGTCACAGAGAAGGTGTCTGAAGCTTCAAGGCTGCAGGAGGTCACCAAGGGTGGGAATGGGGACGGATGAAGAACCTGCCATGGCTGGGGTGAGGAGGGCACAATCTTCCTGACCACCAACCCTTTTGCCCCTATCCTGGCAGACTCCCACTTTGATGGGCAGTCAATCCCCGTGTGCCTCTCTGATCTAATGGCGAGCACGCGGTTCTATGAGGTTCTGTGCTGAAAGAGGTTTCCACAGTCATCCAAAGGGACACATGGGAAGAGATGGGAGGTATGGGGCTGTGGCAGCCATCTTGCAACCATGAGGCAGGCTGGGAGTAGCAGAGCCACTCACAGAAGTAATGGTTCCTTCACTAAGCATTCAGATTAAGTCCCGCGCACTTTTATTAAGACTTTTGCAACAGGGGTTGAGCTGGGAGGTTCTGTCACGTGAAATCCAAAGTCTCCTCACTGATAGCAGAGTGGAGTCAGCAAAGGAGTCTGAACAAGGGTGTGTGAGGTGGGAGGAGAAGAGGGGGAATGTGAGTGTGCTGCATCGCAATGGCACCTATCATGCATGGAGCTCCCACGTGCCCAGCCCAGTTCTAACATCTCACATATAGTAACCGGTTGAGTCCTCTTGAGTTAGGTAGCTATTATTATGTTATAGATTGGGAAACCAAGGCACAGGGGGCTGAGGGAACCTATGGAAGTTCCCGCGGCCAGAAAGTGAGGGCTGGGATATAAGCCAGACAGTCTGTTGCTCTTTCCTGTGAGCCAAGGATATCTTTTTCAGAGGTCCAGAGAAGAGAGTCTTAAGCTGAAATGTCTGACTGGCCGTTCAGGGCTACTTGCTTGAGAATGAACAGTCTTCACAAATTTGGTAAAGTACAGGTCATCAGCAATGTTGGGCAGCAGGACCTGGGTGGGGAGAGTATGGGCAGTAGGACTGGCCTGAAGAGTAAGGAGGTGGAGAGCCCACACAAGTCAGCTCTTGAGAAGCATGGCTATGGTGAGGGTACAGCAAGGGTGTTTCATGGTTTTTTTGGAGGGGATTCTGGGACATACAGGAAGCAGGAGGAGGGGTCGCTCCAGAGCTCTGGGGTGGGGCCTGGGTGGGGTCTGAAAGGCTCCCCTGACCCAGTAGAGAAGACAGAGACTTGGGGGCACGAGGCAATGGGGTTTCAGGTTTGGTGATGAGCAGAGGCAGCTTCCTGCTCCCGCCATTTCCTCCAGGAGGCTGAGATCCCGGCTCTGAAGTGGGTGGGAGGTTTGCGGCCAAAGAGCGGTGCGATTGTGGGGTTGCCAATGGAGTTGGGTCCTATTTGAGGTCGGAGCCCAGCAGTTTGGGGGCCAAGAGATCGGCAGTTTGGGTGACTTTCTCCAGACTTGCCCATCCACCTCTGTAGGGCCCCAAGGGGACGAGGAGCCAGCCCTGGTTGCGGTGGCTACAGGAGGAGGTACTCAGGGGCTGGGCCGGGAGGCGCCAGGGCAACCAGGGGGCTGCAAGGTCGGGGTGGCCTCCGGCCACTGCCCCAAAAGCAGGGTGAGGACCTCCAGGCCCGGTGGTCAGGTGGAGGTGGCCCTCCGCGCCCTCCCGGTGGCATCTCCCTGCCCGCGAGTCCTGCCAGCCCTTCGGGGACAGGAAGAGCAACGCGGGGCGGAGGGCTTCCTACCGCCCCCCTCCCCGCGGCCCGGCGGGGCCCCCCGCGCGCCGATGCGGAGCAGGATTTCCCGCCAACGCAGTTGGGGATTAGCGCGCCCCTGGCCCGCGCGGCGGGATTAGCCCGCGTGGACTCGGTGCTCGGCCCGGGGATTACAGCGCGCTCCCCCCGACGTATATATTCCCGCGGCGGCGGCGGCGGCGGCGG